AGCAGAGCAAGCAGAGCAAGCAGAGCAAGCAGAGCAAGCAGAGCAAGCAGAGCAAGCAGAGCAAGCAGAGCAAGCAGAGCAAGCAGAGTAAGCAGAGCAAGGCCAAATTGTATAAAGGATGAAAGGGTATTTAATCTGGAGGATTTCCTACTTGTCTTTCCTTCCTTCGTACTTAACTAACGTAGGTGGCAAGCGAGCTGCGCAGGCAAGAAACTGCGCGCCCCACCAACGTCTTCTGCTTTCATAGCTATATATCTCAACAACGCTTGAAAATACTGACGGAGTACGTATTCCTAGCCAGCTAGCCTACGGAGTGTGGTACGGCTAGCGTCGGCTACCTTAATATAGAACACGGTTCCTATATTTAGCCCTCACAGTTCTACGGTACGGCTACGTAAGCCTCCACACACAGGAGTATATATACGGCGTACGTAGCCTAGATAGATGCTCATCCAATACATCACTTACCTCGTTCAATGCATTGTTTCACCTCCATCCTCAAATACTAGTAGTAGGGTAGCTGTCTAAGCTTGGGCAGTATCTACAGTACGTTTCCCATACGTTCGTGAGTTATGCCCAGGCTGTCTGCAAAGCTTACAGCGCGCTGAAGCCTGCCGGCTAGCACCTGATGGCGCCTCATTTGGACGCGTTTCACTCTCTAGCTGCTGTCGAACATATCATGGCCATTGCTGTGTTTCTTCAAACGAAAATCCTCATTTGCGTTCTTGCAGCTGCGGGCGTTTGGTTCCTCCTCGGTCTAATGTTCCTAGTGTTGCTGAAACGCAACCTAAAGGACCGAAAGAGCCCCTCCTTGGCTCATCGCCGCTTCTTCAAACAAGCGACAGTTGGTGCCCTGTGGATCTCTGTTGCGCTGGCTTTAGCAGGAACAGGCGCAGTGTCACAGACCTCTGGAGCTTTACAATACTTCAGCAACTCAGTGGAAGCCCAGTCCATCAAGGTATCATCAGGAACCACAATCCAGGCGTTGCAATGGCTTGTCGTTGCCTTCTCTACCATATTTGCTTTCGGAGTTTCTGCAATTTTCAAAACGGCAGACGGCACTATGAAAACTGCAACAAACAGCTCAGGTGCCAGTGGAGTTTCCTCCTCCTCCTCCACCAACATTTTAATTGAACTTGAGTAGCAGAGCTTGTGGCACAGATTACCGCTTCCTTCACGAGTCACTTTCCGCATATGCTTGCGACTAGTTTTTGTTGTGTTACCGCGCTGTTCTGTCATTTGCACTATGTAATATGCGTAGATTCATAGAATTCCGTTTCCACGCCAGTCCTCTCCCTCTCATCTGAATCTTGGACAAGTCTCGTATAAGCCTTTACTTGTCTCCTTCTTCAAACTATTCATTTCATGGCATTAGTAAGACCCAGGAATTCTTCCGACGTCCATGTCCTCTCCGTTTGCTGTCTGCGTATCTTCCAATGCGGAATTAGCTTCTTCCTCTTTGCTGGGGTGGTTACCCTGTGCGGTGAAAGAGACGAAGCCGAAGCCCTAGAGTTTTGAGACATTAGAAGAGCCGTCGAAGCTCACACATTATATTCACTGCTTGAGATCCAGGCACTGGATTTTTTCTGACAACTTGAACATTGAATTGCACTTCTTGGAGCAGCATTACCGATGCGTCATGTCTATACGAACGCGCATAGGGTTTTCGTGTGGCTCGGCGAGTCGGACCGTGATATCAATAAAGCCATTAAGTTTGGCTAGTGCTACCTGGCCGACCCCTTTTTGCTATGGGCGCTGCTAAATGTACACCCTATATTTACTCGGTGTACACCCCTTTTCTACTCCGTATACACCCTTCTTACGTCTGATCTTCTGATTGGTCCGGAGGAGTGCTCCGGGGCCTCCGATTCGCTCGCTTACGTTTCTCACTAATTCCAAATGCTCTCTCCAAGTGCGGCGTGGCCACAAAGCATTACATCCTGATCCTCAACTTCCTCAATACACTCACCATGGCCCTCAAACCACCACCGCCACGGTCCTACTGTACGCTAGATGAAGCCGAGGAAGTGCTTAGAGAGCATGCAAAGGCGCAGGGCTACGGGCCCATCAAGTTCCGTTCAAAACCAGACAGAAAGACGAAGGAAACGAGGAAAATATGGTACCGATGCTGCTTTGGAGGCACCAGAGAGTCT